ATTTTACCAAAACTTGAGGATACACACTAAAGTAAATATGAAACTATAATGAAGTTGAAATATTTACTAGTCAAACTCAAGGTGTAAAGGTGTTAGCTCTACAAGGTTCAAAATCAGTCTATATAATCATTCCAAACAACACTGAACATCTCACTGTGTTGACATATTGCAATGCAGCTGGACAAATGATTCTAAATATGTATATTTTCCAATCAAAAAAAAGAATGTCTAACTGGACAACATGTTGCAAGTCAAGATATGCATTAGCAATCAGTAAAAACACATGAATCAACAGTGTTTTATATCTTGGCTAGCTTCTTTGCAAGATCTACAGACCATACATCTAAACACCATCACCTTCTTATAACAAATGGTCACAAGAGCCATTGCAACTTCGTAGCTTTGGTGAAAGCAATGTCCTTAAGCATCGACATAACACTAATCCCACCTTATAGATCACATAAATTACAACCACTTAACCTTAATCTCTTTAGGCTATTCAAAACTAACTTTAAGAAGCTTGTTAACTGAATGGCAAGAATAACAACCACAAAGGATATTGTTTAGTTGGTTTCAAAAGTATCACTTCATGCATGCTCAAAGAGTAACATTAAAGTTGAATTCAAACACTACAGCTATTGAACAACACAAAAATGGATAATGAGTATGGAGCAAATGTATTATATATAACTATTTTGGAAGAAGTTCAAGTAACAAAGGAATTAGTGTGTAAGCAACCAAAGTTAACGATTTGAAAAACGATTCATAGGGTTCAAATATAAAGGGAAAGGGCCCGTAAACAAAAGTGCACCCAATTATAAATTTTGGGATATTTAGGGTTAAACGTCTTTAGGTTAGAATAGTACTGGGTTGGGTGACTTCGTGGGAAGTCCAAACTCAGAAGCTTATATAGTGATAATAGCCAAAAACTACAACAATGAAGAAAATTATGAAAAAAACCAACTCAAGAGAAAGAGAACATGATTAAGTCATCAAGAACAAATGCAACAGAAAGTGAAAATGACTTCACACACATCACAAAAAAGCTAAACACAAAAAAGCTAAAGAAAAATTTTAACACTCCATTTGTTGCACTCATGATACACATGATAATTCTAGTATTCAAAGCTAGCAAAGTTTTATCACCAAAAATTCCAAGCTTGCCTATCATAGTAAGCACTATCATCAACTTAGAGGAGTTTCATGTTAAGCTTATAATAAAAATTGAAGAAAAAGCACACATGGATGAAGAAAAAAAAAGCATGAGCCCAAGAAGTTGCAAAAAAAGCTAAGAAATGTTTACTCAAATGAAAGGTGTATGAACAAAAAAAAGCTCAAAGAAAACATGCTAGAGTCTATAGCTCAACTAAGACTAATCTATATCCTTACTAAATGCTTGCCAACCACTCCCTTGAGTACAATGACTCGACCATCAATATAAGACTGATATGCACAATTGAACTTGTGAGCAATCACTGAAAGATGCTTCTTTCGTGAACCACTTACTCCTGCATCAACCATGCGATGATTTTTAGCTGAAGAAATGGCAACCCATGGATCCGTTCATGTTGGGGACAAAGTCACAGGGGTTATCACAACAGTAGCATCCACTATGTAAAGAGCAGCACCAGATTGACTAAGCAGAAAATTTTAAATTTGGTAACCTTCAAAGCAGGCAAGCTCCATGAACATGAAATGCAGAAGTTTAGTTCTTATTATAAATCACTTCACATATATACCAGCTCAGATTGTGGCAGAACTTTATAGCAGTGCCGCTCAAATAAAAACGGCACAGACGTTTGTGACAAAAATCTGTAAATCTTTTTGGCAGCCGCTAGAGCCCTAACCTATAACCAAAAGGCGCCAAGTGGGACATCCTGCTCATCGAAGAAAATACTCTATTTTCTGCAGATCGTAAATCAAGTGCGAGGAAGAAACCGTTGCGGAATAGCAAGTTCAAACTTTAGGTACGCCTGCAGAAGAAGGGACAAAAATCGCCGAAGATCCCAGGCGATCCATGATGGGCAGAAAATGTTAATTTGGCTGCAGTATCTCTGGTTGGTGGCTCACATTCTTCTTCGATTTTGCTGGTTTTGTGGGCACAATAGGGATTTAATTTGCATGAATTTTTCCACAGTACAGTATCTTTCACCGTAGTAACCTTCGACACATGATTCCACGGCCCTTAGGGTTTCACTCTCATCTTCTCGAGCTTGGATGTGGCAGTGTTCAGTGGAGATGCATCATGGCTCCTTATGATTGGAGACTTTTTGCTTCGTGGGTGATTATTCACTCTACCTTTGCATTTCTGGCAATCAGTGAAGATGAACCGGAGGAGTTCAAGATCACACATGTTGTACTTAAGGGTTTGTGAGAGTGGCCTATCAGGTACTTCTCGCACTCGTTTTTCTTTCCCTCAGCAGCAACTCCCCCCCTTCGGGCATTTACATGACCCTCCAAACACGTTTGTTTTATGCTAGTCGTCAGGTGGTGCCCCAGTTTGGTTTCCAAAGTGACAGCGTTGCAGCATTTTAGGAGGGGTGTTGTATGTTTAGCGAGCTCTCAATGTGTGTCTATGCACATGGAGATATTTGTTGTGGTGGTGCTGAAGTTGTTGAAGATTTGGCCATAGGTTTTTTGGCAACGTTTACAACAGTAACCCAGCAGAGAACGGTAAAGGTCTGCAGTAACTTAGCTGAAACTCAAAGAATATCTTGTCACAGTGTCTACGAGTGCACTTAAGTTTTTATCAAATTATACTGATCACTGATAGGGTCCCCTCATAATGTAATTGTTTGATTTTCCATCTTGCCAACATCATTACTTGTGGGACCATGATCAAACCTAAGTGTGACCTCCAGTTTTTAATCTCAAATTTTACTTAGTGCAGAATCACTTCAGCCGATGAACGAACAAAACAAACATATACATAGTCGAATAAATAAAGCTATCTGCTAAAGGCGATATTCATGTGATAGTTTAGAAGTTTCTTCATTCATTCATTCATCCATGGTAATGTGAATATGGAAAGGCAAAGAGAACAAGAAAAGATATATGAATAAAAACACTAAGAAAATCAAAATAAAAGAACTGACGTCCAGACAGGAGGCAGCCTTCACGTTATAGTTATTAACATTGAATAGAAAAATAAATCAAAACTTTAACCTTTAATAATTTTAGCAGAAAACAATGCTGAAATTAATTTATTCTAATTGAAAAGTGTTAATATAAAAACTGTAATAAAAATAAATTATCTAAAAATATTAAAAATATAAAGAAAAGTCTAAAAGGTTAAATTTAAGAATATAAAGGCAATCAAACATTTTGTAAGAATGAAATTAGTGTCTGATTTTCTGTAAAATAGAAATGAAATTAAAATTGAAACATTACTATAATTGAAAGACCCTATTCATGCAGAAATTGCTGGATGTATATGTTCATATTGCTAACCTTCTTCTAGCTCCTTTATCACGTTGCAGTTATGGGTTCCTAGTCGCAACGCACCTCTTGCAAAGTCTACGCACCTCTCGCCACCTCATATATAACTAGCCAACACTCCCTAGGGCTACACTTCCGCCAAAACCTTAGAAAAATCTAGAAAATTGAACCATGAACTAAAAAATATGCCACAGATAAAGCCAGCAAAGAAATATTTTTTTTAAAAAAGAAAATTCTGAAAAATAAAACATAAACTGGGAAATATGCACGCAAAAACTTACTTGACCGCTTTTGCAAGCAAGAACAGTCACCATCAGATTTCCTATCGAGTGCTTTCTCAAATCTGGCATGAACTGATGGATTCACGAGCTTCCTCATACCATCCGGATTGAACGTTAAGTCGCTAGAAAGGAGCTGAATCGATTGACAGTGGCGAGCAAGATGCCGCTCCCATAACAGCAAACAGGAACCTCCATTTAAAGTCCTTGTAGTCGTATGCACCTGATTCAAAGCACACTGAAGAAACAAAAACTCTGCAGAAAATGATTCAAACTGCGGTTTTGGAAGAATGCGGAGCTACCTTGAGGCCTGGAGCGCAGAAACGATACGGCTTGCCCTGGATCTTCCGGCTGCAGAGCGCCATTGTCCACCAGAAGGCACCATCCAGCTCTCATTCTTGAAAGAAAGAACAAAACAATTTTTAGAACTCGTGAGTTTTGAATGAAATGGACAGGGTGAACAGCGCCGTGGGAAGCCTGCGGAATTTCGTCGGCTGGATCTCCGATGACGAGCTGCCAGAGGAGGAATCACTGCTTCCTCAGTTCGGCCAGGGCTGCAGCTTGACCGCGCGTCAGGTATGTATTGATATATATTTCTTGCATTCTCATGAAAGGGGGAAATCCGAATCACGAAATCGCATCGAGCTTATGGATTTGTTGGCTGTTTAAGCCTCTGATTGTTCTGTTCCTTTCTGGTAAGCGAATCGATCGATCAAGCTTCTGCCTCAAATCCTTCAAACATGAAAACGTTCAGTCTTCTCTGGTGATCCTCCGGCCTACAAAGTTCGCAGTCACTTACACTGTGTCTCATTGGGAAGGTAACGACTCCTTCCTCATTCAATCGATCGATTGAGCTTGGTGTTGATTGTTCCAGCACAGGATTTCTAATCGGGCCGAAGAAGCAATTCAACATGATGTTTGATCCCGTTCGCATCCTCTCAACCATCATCTACCTCTTCAGTATCTTCCTAGCCTCTTCTGTGCTCTTCACGTAACAACAACAACATCCATGTCCATAATCCAAGCGTAACTAAACTCTGCTCGTTTTGTTTGCTTTTGCAGCTTCAAGCTTCTGACGCTGTTGGCCATCCTCATCGAAGCTTGTGCTTTGCTGTGGTAAAATCTTGTCGTTTCACAGGTACAGCCTCATTCCCTTCGCTCAATCTGCAGCAAGACGATGGCTTTCCAAAGCTTTTGATATATTTGGGTTCCTGATAAATTTTAATGCGGTCTGCTAATTTTGAACTGTAGAAATAAATGATATTAGATAATTCTCTGAAACAATTAAACTGGGACTCCCATCACCTTCTGAACAATGGACCGAAGTTTTCTCAGAAGCCGTTCATCCTTCAGCACATGATTTTCAACACCCCGCCAGTTCTGATACCCACCATTCTCAAAAAGATCAATCAAGGTGACAATATAGACGGTTATGTTTTCTAGAGGTATCTTCAGATTCAAGACACTCTCAACTTCCGCCTTAAGATCCAGCACTCCCTTTGCTTTAATTCCATGCTGACGTTTAGCCGATGACAGAGTGACTTGGTACAAGTCCAAACACACATGACCCCCTCCCTTCCGAAGTCTGAAGGCATCCCAAGACCGCTGCGTTGTTTTCGTAGGCCAAAACATGAAATCCCATGGCGCATTTTGCCACTGCGTAGATTCTTTAGCCTGAAGACGGTCAAATCGTTCCGCCTGAACAGGGTCGCTCTGGCCGTTAGCATACACGCACTTCGTCTGGAACAAGCCGCCCTTGGGCAAAACCTCCCGACACAGTAACTCCAGGAAGTTGGCCCTAGCAGAATTCAACGTCGGATTGCCCGAAAACAATAGAAAAGAGGTCAGACCAGACTTGTGAGTCTGGTACAGATTCCGAAACACCTTCTCGCTCACATGCTTCGAAGCAAACACATACTTGTACGTCCTAAAGTCGTTCCTCACCATCATGTGCAAGATCTTGTGCGCCTTCTCACAGAATCCGCTCACTTGCGCTTCAACGACTTTGATGATGTTTCGGGAACCATCAATGGCATCGGTCAAGCTCTTATCAGCCTCTTCATCGCGTTGTTCTAACACAAATCGGGCAAGCCCACCCCACCTCTTGAATCTTTCTGACCAGAAAGAAATGCCGAGCTTGAAAATTTCCTGGTCCGCAGCCGCCAGTTCATCTGATTTCCAAACAGGCATGTAGAACACCGTCCGCCTTCCATCCTTCTTTACCTCCTTGTAATTCTCCAGCAGAGGAGAGCACGCAAGGATGAGCTTGCCCAGAAACAATGGAGGAAGAGGGAGCCGGCCATCAACCAGATAATACAACTCTTTGTCTGAGAGAACAGCCCGAGAGTCAAACTCCGAAATTCTGGTTTGAGAGTACACCCCTCGCTCGTGTTGGAACAAAGTCCGTTCTCCGGCCTTGTTCTGTAACAGAATCCTGCAGCCCCGATGGAGAAGTTTCCACATGACATAAACAAGGAAACCAGACTTTCCGATTCCAGGATTTCCAACCACGATCGCCCGAGTCTTTCCTCTCTGGAAATCAGCCTCGATTGCTTCCCAGATGAGGGAGTAGCATTTCCTTTCTAGAATACGTGGCGCCGACGACGCCCAAAATGCCTGCACGAACTCCCCAAACTCAAGAATGTTCCAATCCTTGTGGGGCTCTTCATCCTCTTCCCCTTCATCGTCCACATACATCCCTTCTTCATCTGTACTGCCTTCTTCCCCTTCTTCTTCATCAACCTTTTGCTTCTTGGATTCCTGCATGGAGACCATATTGAGAAGTTCGCGCTCTTCCGATTTCATTTCATCGTCTCCCACTTCCTGCCTGCTATACATGACCTTACCATTGTTCCTTACAGGCCTCGGCCACGATTTCAGGCGAGTGATCACTTCCTCGTCCAGCACGAACGGCCGCACCATTCGGCAGCCCATCAATTCGTTGACCAGGTCCGCCATGGCTGATTAGGGGGATTTAGGGTTTCTCCTTAGGCGCATGGGTCGCTCCAGATACGCTCGCCATCCTTTTCGGCGATCGCATGACAAACCCAATTTGCCCTAAACGCATATACCAAGAAGATGCCAATTACTAGGGTTTGTCAAGAACATGAAAGAGGCCAAGGCGAGCTTGGCATTTCTTTGCTCGCTGCTGGAATCGCTGGGCGTCGCGGGCGTCACTCCCGATCTCCTCAGGCAAGCCAAATCCAACGCGCCGTGCGCCGCGATCAAGCTCTGGCGCCCCCTCCACGACCTCGTCTGCCTCCATCTCTGCTGCTTCCCCTGCCAGGAAGATCACCGCGAGCTCGAGGGTTTCCAGGAGATTTGGAGGAGCTCGGGCGTCTTCCCTGGCGATCACGGCGACGGCATTGTGGGATTCGTCAAGTTCTATGTCGCGCTCTGGGGGTATCCTCCCAGCTCCCGGTTCTTCGGCCTCCCGATCGACACCCGCGAGAGCAGGGAGCTCCTCCTTGCTCTGGGATGGCTGCTCTCCCACTGCGACGTCTTCTTGCGTGGGATCGAGGCGCGATCCAGGGAAATTTCGAGCGCCATTGCGTCCTCCTCGATCGCCGCCCCGTTCCCGCCATTGCCCCGCGATGTCGCGACGCTCGCCGGCTCCAGGGCTCGCGAGGTGGAGCTCGGCGTCGAGGAGCTCGTGTCCAAAGTCCTCCACTCCGCGGCACAGAGGGATCGAGAAGCCCGAGAAGGATTTCTCGCGGATCATCTGCTGCTGCTCCACGGGAGGATCGGTGTGATCCTCAAGTCAATCCACTCGCTCCAGGCGTGGAGATTTCGGCGGATACACGAGCTCAACCAGCTCCAGCTCGAGGCCATCCGCCAGAAGATCCAGCACAGGCTCTACACCCAGTTTGAGCTCCATCTCTTGCAAGATCCGGAAGCCGCTCGCGATCACCAGCGCGTGCTCGAGGCCCAGAGGCAGCTCCGGTCCGAGCTCGCCAGCTTCCAAAAGCACGAGGAGAATTTCTGGAACTGGATGGCCGACGAGAACGACGATGAGATCGCCACTCCGGCTCGATCGTTAAAACAAGAGCCCAGTAGCTGCTGTGGTGTCTCACAGGAAGAGCTCATTCCAGTGATCCAGTTCCTCAAGGACCCCAAGGATCAGTGCGGTGTATCGCCGGTTCCAAGCGAGATCCTTGCTGTGCTAGCTCCAGCGCTCACGACGACGAATCACGCGTCTTGTTCGTCCAAGAAGCGTGGCGATGATCGAGCAGCGTTTGGGCGGTTGAGAGACGCTGGGTTTAAGTATCAGCCGAGTTCCAAGCTCACGACTATCGATCAAAGCATCCAGCGGTAAGATCAAGATCAACTAACTACAATTGCTTACTTCGATCTTCCTGCAGGCTTGAGGAAGCAATAGACAAGTTGACGATCGGTCACAAGGAATTGCGAGGTCAACACAGGTTGGACAAAACTCTCTTTGTTTCTCTCGCTAAAACTTTTGCTAACTTGAGTAGGATCGCGATCGAGAGAGAACTAAAAAGCTTCCTGGAAGACGAAAGCTTTGTGGTCGTTGGTTTATGATCTCAAGAAGAACCCCCACCTCGTCGATCGGCGATCGGTCAGGAGAAAAAATTTACCGTCTGTGCTTCGCCGCCACCACCATCACTCAACGTATCCGACGCCGTCATTACGTACTCGAGGCTGGGTTCCTCCTCGACGCCATTTTTGCTCGCAGCAACAGAGTCCGAGGCAGAATTTTTCCTCGGGGACCAGCGTTTTCTAAAGATCCTACACACGGACCACGATTCCTGCTGCACAGAAAAGTCATTTCTGGGTAAGATGAGAGAGAAAAAAGACTTTTTTCTTACCTCACAGCTTCCCTGTGCAGAACTCCCGATGGTTGGAAGACGAAATTCGTGCATGACCCACTCGGTCTTGGTTGCCTTGGTTGCTCTTCCTTTGTAGAAGACGAGAGTTTTCTTCAAGCCGACGCAGCTGGAAGTTTCCACCGTAGAAATTGGACGATCCGGCCCCGTTGCCTTCCAAAATCCACTCTTGGTGATCCGGTTTGGTCTCAAGCTGTTCCTAAACTTGTGATCTCGCAGGCAAAAAAAGTACCACGCGTTCTCCCCGCACACGGACAGTTCTAGGAGAAATCAAGGATGAAAGTTAGATCACCACGAGAGAAAGAGAAAGCAAGGCTTGCTTACTTGGAAGTTCCCAGGGATCATAGTTATAGATGTCGAGCGGAGTTATAACTTGGAAAGGAAAAGCTTTGTCCTGGATTTTCCTCCGGAGATAGAACCCGACGAGCTCCTCGTCCGTGGGATGGAACCGGAATCCTGGAAGAATCACTTCAGCCACGCTCTCACGCATTTTTTTCTACGATCGAAAGACAGAGAGAGAGAGAGCACAAACTAGAAAAGATCTGGAGAGAACGAAGGAGGAGATCTGCTTAAAAAGCCTGGGAGGAAGCTAATGAATAGAAAGCGATTCGCGACAGGAATGCTGACTTTGGGCATGGCCGATAGTGGTTGACATTAGCATCAGTGCCTGCGATTGAAACTCCCAAAGCCTCAAATTCAACCGTGTACCTGTCCTCTAGCGGAAAATTCGTGAGATTGCTGGGCCGGGCTCCACGTATAATGCCTCCAATCATCTCCCAGTAGAAAATGATTGAGAGCGTGCGTCCATGCGAGCGAACGAGGCGCGGAGCATCGGATCGAGCGGAAGAGCGCCATTGCGCAGCTGAATCCACGAGGACGATCAGGGCAATCCAAAATGATTGGGGAGGGAACGAAGAACCCTAGTTTGCCTCACGTGGACATTACGACACGTGGCATCATGTTATTGGCTCTTGCATGCCTTGCTTTTTATTTTTTTAGGGCAAGGCGAGTGCCTCGTATTCTAAGGCGGGGAGGGCGCTCCACGAGGAAATTTCGACAGGTGTGTGAATCCAAGCTCGCGCCGCGCGATCATCTGGGTTCTAGGTCGCGATGGCCTCTCAATCGCCCCAGTCGCAACAGCAGCAGCAACAGCAGCAGCAGCAGCAGCAGCAGCAGCAGCAAGGCGCGCTCCAATACGCGCAGGGCCAGCCGCAAGATCAACAGGTAGCTCCCTCCATGTTCCTCCCTCTGGAACCATAATCTGTGAGAAAATTCTTGCCCAAATCAGCTCTCCTTGCCGATTCACCACTACGAGCAAATCCAGAAGCAGCAGCTACAGGTTTTCTGGCAGCAGCAGATGCGAGAGATGGAGAAAGTCACAGGTTCTCTCTCTCGATTTTTTTTCTTTGCTCGCTCTGTTTTTTCTTCTTTTTTTTTCCTGGAGCGAGCGGTCTTTTCAATCTTTTCTGAAATATATATTTTTCTTTGTTCCCAGACTTTAAAACGCACCAGCTTCCATTGGCTCGGATCAAGAAAATCATGAAGGCCGACGAGGATGTCAAGGTAAGCTTGCTCTTTTACTCGGATAGTGTTTTGTTTCATGGAGTAACTTCGGTAAAATCCATGTAGATGATCAGTGCCGAAGCGCCAGTTCTCTTCGCCAAGGCCTGCGAGCTCTTCATCCTCGAGTTGACGTTCCGGGCTTGGATGCACACCGAGGAGAACAAGCGCAGAACTTTGCAAAGGAACGATGTTGCCGGAGCGATTAGCAGGGCCGACATCTTCGACTTCCTCGTAGATATAGTTCCTCGCGAAGAGCTCAAGGTAACTTTCCTTTCCACTTAGAGATAACTTTTTCTGAGACTCGAGCTCGCCATCGCCTCTCCAGGAAGAAGGCGTCGCAGTTCCATGGCTGGGCATGACGGGCGAGCCTGTCCCTTACAACAACACAGGTGCTTTCTATCCCAACATGCCCGGGCAAAGCATCCCTGCTCAACCTCTCCACCATTTCATGTCATCACAAGTAAGAACAAAAGAAGAAACTCACTATCCTGTCTATGATCGTTCTACGTTTGCTCATGTAAATGATTTCCTTCTTTCTCTTCGCAGGAAATGATGGCTGCGCAACCAGGAAACTCTCAGGGATTTCATTCTCAGCAGGCTCAGCACTACGAGTAAGAAATCTTTTTCCGACTTGTTTGAAGATTTTGATATTTGGCGCTGCAGGAATGAATGAGCGATGCGATCGATAGAAACAACTGACAAGAAGGAATTTGTCGATAAAAATCCTCAGCCAAGAGAATAATTATTAGCAGTCATTATCTAGTTTCCTTCCTAATAAGCCTACTTTATAAAATTTGCGAGTGGATCACAACCCTCATTGAATATTAAAAAAAGAAAAAGAAAGGTAGATGCAAAACTGAGAAGGGATCACTTTATGGGTGTGTACTTTTGTGTTGGATCCTCTTATTTACAAGGAAGAAATATAAAAAATCCAAAGGAGGTGTGAGCAGTGTTTTAAACATTGCTCAAAGGTGAATAATCTAGCAATGTTTAGAATCTAATTGATCATTGCATTTCCAGAGGGTGGCAATGCTGTAAAACAAGGATCTACATGAGCAGCACCAGCTTGGACGCTTCAAATTCTCTTGTCAACAGGGCATAAGAACCAATATTAGAACGACAGGACTTTGTTAGGCACAGTCCAGTTCCGAGGATGGAGAATCTGGCACAGAAGTGTGGAGCTGGAATTGCACTGATAAAATCCCCTACAGCCCAGTTTAGTTTTTCATTTCACGATGTATTGCCTTTGAACAGATGTTGTTAATGTATTGGGCATTTGGTCTAGTGGTATGATTCTCGCTTTGGGTGCGAGAGGCCGCGAGTTCGATTCTCGCAATGCCCCCCGACATTAGCCTTTTTCTCTCTCGTAGGCTGGGAAACTTTCAGCTGAAAAATAAGTTTTTTACGTACCACCCTGTTGACTTCATCCAGCCAGCAGCTCGAAAGGACGATCCGCAAGGGATCGCCCGTGGCTTCCTACGTCTTTTGGAAATCGTGTGCCAAAATTGGGAGACGAATTGATATGCTCTTGATATAAATTTCCAACTTTAGATTTTCTTCATATTGCTATGGCAGCTCCAAGCTCAAAGGCGATCGCTCAAAGGAGTTCTCCATTATGTTCCTGGGAGCGGACAAAGATCTGGTGGATGCTCTAGTGGGCGCTCAGATTCTTCCACTTGGCTGATCGCTATCGCTCCCTCGGGCCGGATTCGATCAAATGATCAGGTTTGTGGCCACAAAGGTAACTATTAGCTGACAATTAAAATATCAGGAAAACTGGTATGTCCGAGAGCTTTCATTTATCATCACCAACGAGCTCAAGATCTTGCCGGCATCTCCTTTCAGAGTTGTGAAGTTGCTGCAAGCTACGAGAATCTTTTTCGAACTCGCGTGCATTGGATGCCGTGTTTGGCTCTCAAATCCTTGGCCGAAGGGGATAAGATATAGTTTTGCTTTGTTGTTAAAGAAACAAATAAACGTTGTGAATTATTTTTTGTTAGATTGGCATAACGAAAGCCAGGATCATCGGGTGAATCAAAGATCTACAAAACAACCACAGCACTTTTTCAAAACTTTCCCAGCCTAATAGTAAAACTCACAGGCAGCAGTGATCGACGACGTAGCTCTCTGCACCGACACGAAGGTCGAGCATCTGGCCGAGATGGGCCAGTGCCGCCTCTCTAGCTGAATTTCAAAAAAGAGTCTTGAGGACTTGGCCGGGCTATGATAGGCCGCCAGGATGCCGCCGTATCCCACCGCCGAATAGCTTTCGCGCCACTTCTACTTGCCCGCTTTGGGAATATGCTGCGGACAGTGTGGCATGCTCTCAAACATGAACTCCGCGAGCCGCTCGTTATGGAAAAACGCTACTAGCATACAGTCCGAACTGAAGGAATATCTTTCGGGCGTGAATTTTGCCAGCTCCAGATGGCAGCATTGACTTGTGCCGATCTGCTGTGTCGCGCGGGATCGCTGGACGACCCCATGGATCTCATCGCTGCTCTGTCCCGGCTCTGAGCTGCGTCGCGCGGTCGCGAGGGGCAAAATATAAATGCCATGGCACTGGAGTAGAAGGATTTCAGAACAATTGGGTTGCGTAGATGTAGTCTTTGGATCGCCCGGCAACACTTTAAGTTTGGAGGCTGCAGTGGCACGAGGATGGAAATTATCGGAAACTTGCAGCCAATCTAACCTTGGTCTTGTAGCTCTGTTTTTTCGAATCCAATCACGAGCCAATGGGCGTGGCGGCTGCTGCAATGGTGGCGCAAAGAATCGAATGATACGCTTGTGGCTTCCTACGTCAAGAGATTCTTTTGTTCAATCACCAAAGTTCCAAGCGTTTTTGGGAGACGAATTGATACTTCCAACTTTGTTTAGATTTTCCCTGCCGGCGAACGCCTATGTCAAGAAGTCCTCCATTTTGTTCCTGGAAGCACGCAAGATCTGGTGGATGCTCTAGTGGGCACCCAGATTCTTCCACTTGGCTGCTTCCTGGGGGCAATCCACAACTCCTTCTCGAACAAAATCCCCCTCTTCAACGTCCACTCAAGCATCGTACCGATGTCATAAACCCATTTGTATTGTAACATGAACATTGTCGTTCTCTCTCGCCGCCTCCCTTGTTCAAAGCTGCAATTGCTCCCTCAGGCTGGCCTCGATCATATGAGGTTTGCGGCCACAAAGAAATAGGTGGTCTGTCAGCTGACAAAGAGAAATTCCAGGTGAGCTGGTACGTCCGAGAACTTTAGTTTATGATCACCAACGAGCTCAAGATCTTGCCAGCGTCACCTTTTGGAGTTGAGTTGCTGCATGTGTCGAGCCTCAAGGAGGTGGAGCGCCAAGAGATCTCTGTCAAGAGCCAGGTTTAAGTCTCCGTGGGCTTGTGAAATCTTTGCTGAACTTGCAATTAATTCTCATAACCCTGCAATATTTGCCACCTCTACTTAAGTTGAAACTATCTATCTCTTGTTTCCCACAACTAGTGAAGCATACATTTAGCTTGGTGTTTATAATCTTTTTCATCAACATAAATCAAATAAGGCATATGCCCCTCAAAAAAATTTATATTTCCCAATCTATTTTTATAATTTGCTACAGGTTGCATGTAATATGTTATTTAATTCAATAGATCACACATTTATATAGATAAACCACAATTTTCTTTAATGATTATATACCAAAATGAAGTTTGGTGAGAGTTCCAAGTTTACATTTGATTAGTTACTTTATATAATTGTATTTCCTTTAAGTAATTGATGTCTTTCTTGTAATAATCATATTGTGAGTGTTCACAGCTCTCATTTTCCTTTTATAAAACCAAGTCATGACTTTTTGTTGGATCATATGTAAGGGTGGTCATGTCTCTTGCTTCTAACAACTAAGAATTTAGAGCCTCAGCAATATTAGACGTTAAGTAAAACATTAACCTTGAAAGAAAGAAGTTATTTAATGCTCAAGCAATGACCTTCTAATTCAATCTGTTGCAAAGGCAATTTAAAACCTAAACTCTTTTGCTACTTCTGTAAATGCCATCTCCTTTCTTTGTCTCTTTCGAATTCTTTTCTAAAATTCTTTGTAAAATATCTTAACCATGGGATATATTTCCAAACACAGCATGGAAAACTTTCAAGATGAATGTCAATCTAGCAAGTATATCCCTTAGCAAACACTTTTGGAGAAACCATTTTTAATTATTGCAATTTTCATTATCACATAAGCCATTTACATTAACGCCTGTAGCTGTCACCAAAGTGCCTTTGTAATTGCCTTTCAAATGAGTCCCACTCATAGCATTCAGCTTTTGCCAAAAGCAAAACCCCATCAAACAAGTAACATAATTTTCCACAACCTTATCATAAAAGTTTCTAAGCGTATCATTGTAGTTTACACTAAGAACCTTTGCATATTGAGTTTAATTTCTCAATATTGCTACATAATAGCTTATTATATCTGCAAAACACATACTTTATATGTTGGTCCTATTCTAGTTCTATGGCTCAAACGGCATATTTACGAAATGTAGAAAGTGTTTTCCTTGGTGTATATCCTGATTTGTAGTATAGCTCTCTACTTGCATGCATATCTTAGTTTTGTGTCCGATTTGTGTTTAAGCCCAAGTTCTATACCATGTTAATTGATGGAATACTCATATTTTTGCATTATACCACTAGTATATTGAAATTACATTAGACTCCATCTAGCTCTATTTTGCATATTAGTCTTAGTATTAAGATGTTAAATGCTTTAGAATAGTCCCCACTTGCTCCCCCCCCTTTAAAGAACTTTCACCCCAAGCCTCTTTTAGTACTAGGAGTGACTCTCTGGGACTAACTTGAATTTAAACATAGAACAAACATCATTGTGTTTAGGGCATGATAGCTAAGGTGTCTAATAGACACAGTAAACTACCATATAATGATATTGAGGGACTAGACTCAATATTATAAAGGTTCTTAATATTAGCAAGTGTAAGCCAATGACAAAAGTTTCTCAAACTAGGTTGAGTTTACTTAGCAAGAAATATATAGGAGTTTCTACCCTTATATTTATCAAATTTAAATACATGGCCATTGACCGGTTTCTCAACTAGCTCAAGTGGGAACTATAAAAGGAACTAATTATACCAACCTCCTGTTGTCATGGCAATAAAAAAAGAGTGTTTGTAAGGACTAGCTAATAAATATTTTTCAATACTTGAAGTTACATTTGCAACGAAGATTAACGTCTTCGTTGATGCATACCCGAGTTTAATAAATCATCAAAGAAACAACTCCGAAAGTTAATAGAAAGCACACTATGTGGGAAACACACCGACTTAAATAAGTTATGGAATGACCTCTCCTCTATATCCAAAGATGTTAAGACTCAGACACCTTTTGGCCATCACCGACAAGGAAATGACTAACAGAGTTAACCACCCTTGTTACTCCAAGTACCACTCAACTTACAAAGGAATGATACATCTTTACCTACAGGGACATAGGGAGAGGGCTAGAGGCCCAACTTCCCTTGAGTAAGAAATCAACTTTATCAGAAAGATTTAGACAACTATTATAAATTGGCAGATGAAGTTATTTACATGACCACACCCTTTTTAAAAAATGAGTTATCAAGAGAGAGGTGGGGACTTGTGATCAATCTATAATAATTATCCCTATAATTATAGATTGAACCCATGCACCGAAGTGCCAAAATCAACCTGCCAAAACTGACCCAAGTACTAATGAATGAAAGAAACAAAACTTTGATTTACAAAAATACACAAAGCCATTTGCCATTTTAGCAAGTCAAAGTTTTTGTGATAAGTTTTAAACTCTAAGCATCAGAATCACAAAAATACTGTGTGCCATTTCTTGCAAACATATTTCACTCAAAACTATGTCAGAGTAACTCTTAGATGCAAGAGTTGCATTTGCAAAGAACCATAAATATCTAGTGCTATCAATCACACTGCCATGAAGAGCTTTGTGGCCGGGGAGTGCTGCTCAAGGCGGGGCTGGCAGCACTGCTTGTGAAGGGAGGTCTGGTGCTCCATTACTACTGGATCGTGATGATGGAGAGCCTGGGATTCTCCCAGGAGCAAATCATGAAGATCACCCAAAAAGGATCGCAGCTGGTCATGGTCTCCAGCGATCAGGCATGTCAGGTAGCAAGCCCAAGTTGATCTCCCACTCCTCTGTCGTTTTTTGAAGCTGACCATCTTTCGGACCTTGCATCCCCATAACTTCCTGGCCAGAAAGAGGAATGTTGTGGTCATTGATGCTTGATGCTCTTAGGATCGTGATGAAATTTGAGAGTAAGGACTGACTCTGGAAAACGTTCTATGCAGTAAGAAAAACATGAATTATTTTATATAGTTTGGTGAAGCATGAATTTTAGATTGGTGTTGATAATCTTCCTCAAGATCATTATAAATATAATAACTTGATTGAGAGGATGTTGCTTCACCAACCTGTAATATTCTGGATGGCATAAACACAGAGATTCCTTTAAAATTTTCTGAGTTGTCCACATTTGGCTTGATCCATTCCCATGTAGCCAAATTAAATGCAACTGGCAACCAATTCTTAGAAATCCTTATGATGCAAACCAAATCCCCAATCCAGTAGTAACGAAAGCCAGGATCAGGGCAATCTCTAGACATTTCACCTTGGCTATCCCAGCCTTCTCCATACAGATGCTTGACATCCACTTCAGTTACAAACTCCCATGCTTCTTCAGATTTATAAGAGACCATTGCATTTGCAATCTCTGCATTGTCCAGCTTGTCAAGGTAGAGCTTGTAGATGACAAATCCCATAACTAGTTTAGGTTCCTGCCGTTTCCGCTTTGTAGCAACCCACAGAACATAATCCATATCACTGCTACCACAGCAGTTTTTCAAAACTTTGCCAGCCCAATAGTAAAACTCAACTGGTGACAGGGGATCTGATGTTGCCCAAGGCATGTCTGGATCTACTCCACCTATTGGTGGCAGCAAAAATCTCCAATAGCGGCACCCATGCATCACCTCTAGCAATAAATACCATGTTGTATGAAATGTGTGCCCCAGTGATAGAAACCTCTGCCATCTTTCTGCCTGGGGGCCCTCCTTTGGGAACAAACGGTCCCAACAATCTGTTCTTGAGTCATATTCTAGTGCATCATCCCAGAATGCAATTATGCCAGTATCTGGAATAGCTAGAACCCTGTAGTGGCCATCACTGTCCACCTGTATTTCCACCTCGAATGCGTCGCTTGAAAACTTACAGTCAGAACTGGGATCATTGGATCTTGCCATCACAATTGGAAGCTGTTTCCATTCGTTTGTAATGGGGTTCCCAACCACGAGAGCTAGAAGTGTCTCAACTTCATGGTAGAGTCGATTGCACACTAGGCCCTTGTAAGAAGCCACAATGCTAGAGAATTTGCTCAAGTGGAGATCATTACTAGAGACTTTTTCTTGGCTCCCAAATAAAGGGAACCAAACAATGGCCTCAGAACCTGATTTTTTTTTAAAAAAAAAAGAAATTTCCATGAACAAAGCATTTCTCTTACCTTCAGTGTTAGCCATGAGCACCCATGGACCATAAGCTTGTAAATATTGTTCCAAATTGGCTAGAATTAAGGTGTGCCATTTCTTGCAAACATATTGCGCACGAAACAAGTCTGCAATCCCCAGATGCAGAAAAATTAAGAGTAGGAGTTCGTCGCTTAAATCCTCCCTGTAAGAACCAGAAGATTCATTGCTAACGATTACAGATGTAGAACTCACATATAGGCGCACGCCCTAGGTTTGAAGAATGAACGAAACCCTAAATTTCAACTAAGCCCTAAAGCCCTGGCGACTTCCTGCAGAATCTCGCCAATCTTTGCGCGCTGGTGCGATTCCAGGGATGCCCAGATGCGTCCCCGTTCTTCATGGATTCTTTCGAAACATCAGCCGGACCTCGCTCCTTTGCATCCCGAAGCTGACGAAGTAGTCCACCTTCCTGGTCAGCCTAACTTCAGAGGCGACGATCTGGGGAATGCTGGGAAGGATCGGCACCTCGTAACGGTAGTTGGATCGTTTCGAGCTACACCAGACATGGATCCAATTGTGAGGAAGATTGTTTCGCTTTACTTTTGTTTCGTTTTGCAGATTACCATGGCAGGTGAAAAGCATCATGGAGCTTCGTCGAAGCAACTTCAGAGCAGAATAACTCTGCAATATCCTTAGCTGATTTTGGGAATAAAACGACCAACTTTGGAGAAGCGATCCGAACCAATGGCAATCCCATGAAGAAATCCATACTAATGCTGTCAAATGGGCCATTAGCGACTAGAAGGGATGAAGCAACCCTGGAGTTGGAACCGTCTCATGCTTTGTCTGCTGACACACCAAGCATTCACAAACCCATTACTTCACCTCCTTCTGCATCCCCTTCCAATAAAACCTGGTTTTGATCACCGAGATGCATTCACGAAAAACTTGACTTTGGATACGGGTTGCCAGCAGATAACGTCTGACAAGCAGAGGCAAGAGTTGGATCCTCAAGATATCTTCCCGAATTGCCTGCAGAAACTCAGGTTGCTGGCGGGAAACATCATACATTGCAGATCCTTTTGGTTTTGCAGGAATGATGTTGGAATTACCTGGCTTATACTCAATGGTATAGTCAAGTGATTGGAGCTCCTCAATCCAATGACGTTGCTTCTTGTTGAGATGATTCTAGTCCAAAAGAAAACATAGACTAAGATGATCAACACGTAGGCAAAAGTGACAAAAAGAAAGATAGTGGTGCTGCTTTCGAATAGCATGAAGCACTGTTGTCATCTCTTGTTCATAGACGGCCATGCGGGATTCCACAAGAGAAAATCAGTGACTCTCAAAGGCAATAAACTGTCGGTGTTAGGAAGTGTCTCATTGTCTTTCTTGGATGGTTTTGGCCTGGACAGTTTAGACTTGGTGAGCAAGGTATAGCAAGGATTCCTCATAAAAGGAAGGAGAACACAGTACGGAAGGTATGTTATATTTTTTGGGGTTTTCTTTTCTTCTCTCCCCTCTTCCGATTTCTCTCTTTTCCTCCTCAGCAAGGATCGATAATCCAGCAATTGGAATCGACCATGCAAGCATTAACCGAGCAGAATCTTCTGCACCAGCAGCAGGTCACAGCTACAATCTGGGATATGCAAGTTTCAGTCTAGTCATTAGTGGATCGATAGGATGAGAGCATAGCAGCGATGTGTCTTTTAGTGGAGAAGCAGCAGACCTTGGAATCTCGGCTTGAGGAGCTCCAGGTTACTTCTTCGCACAAGAGGCTAAGCGGGGAATTGCCAGTGATACCGCCACAATGGGGAGAGAGAACTTGCCCCTTTCCAGAGCGTCATGTGAGGCCATGGTATGAGGAATTACGGGAGAAGATGAAGATGGAAGATCCAAGGGTGGTGAGTACAATCCTACAACCATCTTTCTTGTCCAGGAGTCACGGGTTGTTGGGGAGAATGCCGTTCTCTTCCTCGGCGGCAAAATGGGATAAGGACAAATTTCAGTTGCCAACTTATGGAGGTGAGAACGATTGACATAAGCTTTTGGAATGGATTTGTTGCCATGAGAGAAACTTCATGATGCGTGAACCTTGGGAGGTGGAAAAAGTACCCTTGGTGGCCAATTATTTCACAGATTTGGCTTTTAAGTGGTATAACAGCTTGGAGTGGGCAAGAGTGTTTCTGGATTGGGAAACATTCAAAACCATGCTTACTAAGGAATTTCTGCTCTTTTCAGTCCAGGACCTTCCGTTCAACAAACTTTGTGATCTACAGTACCATCCACGAACACAGACTTTACAGGCTTTTAATAGGGAATGGCTACAAGCAAAGTTTGGTGTGGATGATATTCCTAGTTCAATGCTATGTAGCTGCTTTACCCACGTCAATGGGAGCTGACATAGCTCAAATGTCCCCTTCATCCATTTGTCAAGCCATACAACTGGCTTTGAATGCAGATCTCAAATATAAGGAGTGGGAGTCAACAAGTAAACCACATCCTGATTGGCCTCATCTACAACCTCGGAGCATGGTGGAAATCAGCAAGCCATCAAGCAATGGATTATCATCAACTGCAGGGAAACAGGTGCCATTTTCATCCACGTCACTTTACAATGTAATCCTACTTTCTTCACACCCGGGTCTGAAAGATGCAACTCAGCTGTCTTTTTTTTCTTGAAGGTACAAAAGAAAGGAAAGTTCGGGCTCCTTCCAAAAAGCTCTCTACCATCTCTAGCAACCCTTTGTGTCTATGATAGATCAAGCACTCATTACCACCTCATAAAAGTCTCCGACACTGGGATGTGGTTACATGCTGAATTTGTTGCTTTGGTGGCACCCCTAACCATTCAACATGTTGTCCCTCAAAGGTGAAGGCTAATTGTTGAGTAGCAAAGTTTATGGTGATATCACCAAAACGTTCAAGAGTCTGAACTCCCAAAATGAAGTCAATGGCCCCCATGTGCATGACATAAAAGTGCTCCACTAGCATGAAGTTGTCACCACCAAGTGACAAGATACAATCTCATTCACTCGGATAACTCCCCTATTGGCAATCTCCACATCCAATGGAATTGGAGCTGGTTTGGTTGTCAAGCGAAGTTTGGTCAGTGAACAAGTCTTCACAAAGGAATGTGAAGCTCCTGAGTCTACTAACGCAAATGCTTGATGACCTGAAACTGTTCCTATTACCCAAATGCACTATGGTCCTGTCTTCCCCAAGAAAGATGGTAGTGAAATGGTAGCTCCTAATGTGGCTTCTTCTCTTGGAATTTGAGATAACACTTCCCCCTCCCAAAAAAAATCTCTTGTCCTAAGTCCAAGTCCTCAAAAGCCACAGGAATGAGATCTCCCTTGCCGTTCTGTTGGAACTGAATACTTGTCAACCTGCCCCTACTTGCTCCTGGTTGCTGACCTGTTCGAGCCTTACAAACCTGTCTATATCCCTGTTCCCATTTTGCTCCACAATCAAAATACTTGCCCAACTTCATATCTTCCAATCATTTGAGCCACTCTTGTGGGGGAAGTGTCGCGAATGTGATTTCGGGTATCGAAAGTTATCTGTCGGCTAATCCTTTCGGATATTATTTCCTTACTGTTACAATGGTAGGAGGTCGGTATTGCTAGAACCATTATCAGTTCCCACTTGAGCTAGTTGAGAAATTGGATAAACATAAGATACGAACCCTATATATTTCTTGCTAAGCATACTCGGTTTGGTTTGAAAAACTTATGTCATTGGCTTGCACTTGTTAGTATCAAAAACCCTTGTGTAAGGAACCGACTTCCCGAGATGTCGTAGGCTAAAGGATCCCCAAAAGCTTGACCGAAATGACAAAGAGTTCATCGGATGGGACCAAGTCGAGGATCGAGTCCAAGACCGACTCTAGGACCGAGTTCGAGATAGAGTCTGGAATCGAGTCCGAGACTGACTCGGGGACCGAGTTCGAGTCCGAGTTCGAGACCGAGTTCGAGACGGAGTCCGAGATCTGAAATCGGGTCTGAGACCAAGTCCGAGGTCGAGTCCGAGGTCGAGTCCGAGATCGGGTCCGAGATCGAGTCCGAGATTGAGTTCGAGACCGAATCCGAAGTCGGATCTGAAATCGGGTCCGAGATCGAGCCAGAGACTAAGTCCAAATACTAATACGGGTCAAGGGGTGAAAGCCCAAAGCGTGCGTCTCCCAGGGGGGGGGGGGGGGGGGGGCTGTAGGGGGTTCCAAAAGTATAGTAGGGATAGTGAGGTCTAGGTGCAACACTTGCTTTAAGACGCCAAGGTGAAACACCATGGCCTAACGGCCCGATATAGGTACCTCTACCCCCCATTTCCATCCCGAAGGGAAGGCTTAAGCCCCTAAGAAGGGCGAGGTC